AAAAAAAAAAAAAAAATACGTGAGGCCCTTTTTTTTCTTGAGTAGCCGAGTCGAATGGCAGTTCTTTTCAACAAGAAAGAATACTTTCAGTTTAATCTTACAGCTATAATTCAGGTGAAAGTATCAATGTGTCTTAATGAAACTGCAACACTTTCTAAGTATCGAGATAGATTATTCGACAATTCGATAGATTAGTCGACAATTGATGCAATTCGATATCTTTGTTTCAATCGTTGTAATTTTTTATATTATAACGCGTAATATTTTACATTTTCTTCGATTCTTTGTTTCTTGAACTAATTGGATTTACATCTGTAGCAGATATTTTGGCACTTCATCAAATTTATAGAAACTGTTGAAATGTCACTAAAAATACATATCACAATTGCTCTAGAATCTCAATGTGGAACAGATATAATCGGACATATCTGAAATATCTCTGCAAGATAAATTTTCATCCAGCTTCAATCGAATTAAAGTTAATTAAATTTCGTTTTGTTATTTATTTATCACTGTCTGATAAATCAGGGGATAAATCATGTTGGAAACCATTTAAAATACCTAACTTTTCGAGATACAAATAAAAATGAATCTAGCTAAATATGTTATGTCACTATTGTACCACTTTCTAGGAGGAAACAGCTCTCAACAGTATCCTCGATCTCAATTCATATCGACCAGTTCAATTTTATTTGAAAACGGATAGAACGAAATACTTCATAAATAGATCGACCCAATTCAACGTTTCATGCAATTCTTTAAAAAAAAAACAGGGAAAAAACGCAAACATATAATAATAGCTTGTATATACGCAGTAATATATTTTACAAAATAAAAAAAATGAAATAATATTTTATACAAGAGACTTTTTTATAGTAATGTTATTTTAATGAACATCTTCGACCCCGTTCTTTTTATCTGAGATATCGGTGAAAGTCACACAACTGTCAATGCTAACTACATGCAAAAAGCAACTGGCCAGTTGCTCCACGTTGCGATCGAATTTAACGTTCTCCATGAGGTCATCACAGTTATAAATCTTTTCTTCCAATATTTAAAAAAAAAAAAAAAACGCTCCTTTCACTTCTACACAGAATGATATCTCTATATCATTATATTCGTACCATTTTAGATTAATCATACCGCGTTTTTTTAACCAATTTCAATCTGCTTGAATTATATTCTTCCAGCATTAAAACATATCTCAACTCCTAATTGGTATCATTGGACATTGAGAGTCATAAGAATTTAGGGCATTTTTACGTTGCTCAATGTTTTATTACTAATCTCTATCGGAGAGACTATACTTCATTACACTTTAAATATAGTACAATGTGATAAAAGTAAAATGTCTTAAATTTCCCCCCACGGTACCATCTGAGAGTTAAGTTCAAATAAAATCCCATAAAGTTCGTACTAACAACAAGCATACATTATTTCTCTTACGAGTTAAATTTTATGTCAAGTTTCTTCGAGTTTCTTACAAGAGTAAGAATGAGAAAGGAATATAAAAATTGGAGGATCGTGGCAGGAGATGGTGAAAATCGTCGTTCGCGTAATAAAAGGAACGAGGTCCAGCGATACAGTTTAGCGACAGCTGGCAGAAGCCGGCTGCTGGCACGCGCCAATGGTCACCGAGCCATCAGGTGCATCGTTGCACCGGGCACCGTTCGTTCGTGAAACCTCTTTCGTTCCTTTTTCTCTCTTCGTTTTCGTTTTCTCCGCAATACCGAGCAACCACCACTCTATCGGTTCTCTATCAATAGCGCGGGTCGCGAATTTCATTCGCTCGAATGAGAAGAGGTTTCTTTCAGAATCGCTGAAAATATCGCACTGCAGCAGTTTTCTTTTTTTAGGGGGGAGGGGAGAGGGTTACGATCGTGAGATATTCATTTAGACCGATTTTTGATCTGGCTAAGAATTTAAACATTTGGCTCTTTCGTCTCGAATAATTCTCAAAGTCAACAATTTGTTTTTTTTTTTTCATTTTTCTAACGAACGTGTTTTTGTAGAAAAGCAAGTGGCGGTAAAATTTTCTTCAAAACGATAGAAACTCTTCTGAGGTTTTCTACATTTATTCCTTCGATAAAACTCAAAATTAGTTTATTACTTCTTTTCGTTACAAAGATTGATATATGTAAAATAATTCGCTTGTTGATCATAGTGAAATGTTGAATAGGTGCTTGTTTGTGATTTATAAACAGT